AGTACACAAGTTTGGTCACGTTCACTCTGTGAGACCGAACCAAACCACTCGGAGGCTCCGAATGGATCCGAAAATTTAGCAAAGATTCCTGTCCGAGTTAAATTTAGGATTTTTGATCCGAAAAATTGTTCGTCTACACCAGGATGACTGCTTGCGTTCTGCACTTCCGGCCGGGTCTCCTTCGACGTGAGCTATGGTGCATCACCCCCAGCGTCGAGGGTACACGGTGACGTTTTTGTGTGCATCACCCCCGGCATCGAGGGTGCACGGTGACGGGCCTGAGAGGTGACCATTGCCTCTACTTTGCATGGTGGATGATGCCACCGTCGAAAGTTTTCGTCTCAACTCCTGCCATCGCAATAGAGACATTTCCTCAATGCCGCATGAGTCTTTCCGGTGCAGACAAACAATGCCCACATCGATTTATGAGGCGGCTGGACTTCCCGTACAATAAAAGGACTAAAAATCTATCAAAAAATCTTTGGCAATTTTTCGGAGCCTCCGAGTGGTTTGATTCGGTCTCACCTAGTGAACGTGACCAAACTTGTGTACTCTTCTGTATTCCACACGGTCTCACCGAGTGCACCGGGTGCCCCGTGACAAATTTTCTGACATTCATTCGATCTGTCCGAAGTAACTCCGCAGCTTTTGCCCCTGATTTTGTTTGGGTCCAATTTTGTTTTGGCTCTACAGCTTGCATACGATGTCAGATTAAGACGATTTTTATATCAAAATCAACCGTTTCGACGAGACGAAGATTTTTCACATGGATAACTATTTCATTTGAGGCCATCTTAATTCCTTTTCGTGCCCCTGACACTTTTTGGCCAACGGGAAGTGGAAAAGTGCTCTTCGGACCAGCTAGGCACTCTTCGTCCAACGGGAGGCTGAAGAGCCCACTTCGGCCAACGGTAGGCCGAAAAGTCCCTCTTTGGCCAACAGAAGGCCGACGGGGTCATAGTTTCGATTTTTATGCATTAGGGCGTATAGTTTCCGAATTTACTATAAAAGATCCGCTGCCCCAGTCCCAACGGGAGCCGCGAGGAGTCGCCCCGCCGCCGCCGTCAGCCGCACGAGCTTCGCTCGGCGGCTTCCTCCGGCGGCGGCGCGGGGCTGGGGGCGATTGGCCGGCGGCGCGCTAGGGTTAGGGAGGCGCCCCCGAGTCGCCATAGGCGAGAGCGACGTGGGGTTGGTTAGATCCTCATAACCCTTAAAAAGTGATGCATGTAAAATCCATCAACACAAAACCAGGAAAATGGAATCGTACAAAAGCTGCAACGAACCAAAGCACCACTCCTCTCTTTTAGTTTGTGGACGGTGGACCTCACGGAAACTGTTGGAACCGCAGCCCTCTCTCACTCTCGACTAGAGGTAGAAGAAGACACAAGACACAAGAAATTCCGGGCCGGCGCACGAACGCCTTCACGGGCGCACGACACCGATATACGTGGTTTATCCTAACATACTCTCCCTAAACCATGATGTCGATGCGCCGGGTCGGGTCCGCGGGCTGGGTCACGGCCGTAACGACGACAATGACGGGCGCTGCAAGAACTCCGGCGAAGGCGACATCATGATTTAGGGAGAGTATGTTAGGATAAACCACGTATATCGATGTCGTGCGCGCAGCCGTGGCTGGCTAGCTACATGCGTGGCCGGGTGATCTTGCGTGTGTGCATGCTAGTTGGTTAGTTGGCTTGCTCCTAACATTCACGCCCCAAGCCATGGCCTTGCACATGTCAGGCTCGTCGTCCACGTCACGCCATGGCCGTTGCACCGCACCGCTCCGGCCTCCGCCGCGCAGCACCTCACGTCCCGCGCTCTCAGGCTCGTGTACACGACGCGCACGCACGCAGTCGCCACGGCCCGAGTCCAGCGCCCGGACGCAGTCAGTCCTCCGCTGCCTTCGCCACGCCACGCACTCCCCGGCCGTCGAGCCGAGCCTTCGCGGCCTCCCCACGTCCCTGCGCTCCCGGCCCGTGCTCCCGCCGCGTACGTACGCGATCTGTGTGCATGCTAGTTGGTTAGTTGGCTTAGTGGCCGGTGCGGTGTGCGTGCATGCAGGAGGCTAGGCAAGTTTGTTAGTCACGGTTAGACTCCCGGGAGCTTAGCTAGATGTGAGTGGCCGGGTGTGACGGCCAAGTTAGTGGGCGTGCATGCAAGTCATGGTGTGGGTGCGTGTGTGTGGCTGTGGGCTACTTAAGTTGTTTCATCAGGTTGTATTGTGCGCCGGTTGAGCCATGTGTAGCCATGTAGGCACTGTAAGGAAGTAAAGGATTGGGACGTTCGTGCGCCCTTGGGGCGTTCGTGCGCCAGCCCAGAATTTCTTGTGTCTTGTGTCTTCTTCTACCTCTAGCCGAGAGTGAGAGAGGGCTGTGGTTCCAACAGAAACAGCTAGCCAGCATTACTCGTTGATGGTGAATGCAGCTTTGTGGCCACAAAGGATGGAAAAGACAGGTTGATTCCTGACGAAAGCATTTCCTTCTCTGTTTTTTCTTGCAGATGTTTTTCTCCTCGTAAACCCATTTCCAGTGCAGAGTCAGGGTGGACACGGTCCGGGCCGGTCCGGTCCCGGTCCGAGCCGTCGTTTGGACCGGCCGCCGGCGGTCCGGTCCGGACCGGACCGAGCACTGCAGCGGTCCCGATTTCAGGGACCGGACCGGCAGACGCAAAGCTCAGTGCGGACCGTCGGTCCCCACGGTCCTGACGACGTACAGTCACTGCCATGTAGGCCCAGGCTGTCAGAGCGGTAGTCGGCGCAGCAGCACGGTGGCCGGAGACGGAGAAGACGGACCTGATGCGCGGCGGCACGGCAGCGCGAGGGAGAGAGACGAAGAGGCACGGCCGCGCGGGGGAGAGGGGAGGAACAGCCGCGCAAGGGAGCGGCGGCGCGAGGCAGAGGCACGGCGGCCGGCGGCGCGTCCTGCTGGTGGCTAGTCCAGTCCGCTGGTGGAAGGAGCGGCGGCGACGCGGTGCATCCTGGAGGAAGCTGGAAGGAGTGGCGGCGGTGCGGTGCGTCCTGCCACACACACGAACGGGATGCGAGATGCGTTTAGGTCACGCACACACCCACGATCTATATTGGGCTGGGAACACACGACCTGATGGGCTCTCCTGATTATCTCTAATTGGGCTGGGCCGTCGGTCCTCCGAGCCGGACCGAGCTAAGACCGGACCGGACCGGTCAATTTTCGGGCCGAAATTGCCAGCTCGGACCGGCCAGTTTTCCTAGCGGGCCGGGACCGATCGGTCCGGTCCTGGTCGGTCCACGAGCGGGCCCAAAAGCCCGCTCGCTACGTCCAGGCTGAGTGCAGAGTTGCTACCGTGAACCACACAACAAACACCCTACCCTACTGTGGAGAGAGCAAGAGAGCTTCCGGGAGCACAAACAAACAATGGCGGAGTTTGCGCTTAGGCTGACCAAGACGGTGGTGGAAGGGACATTGAGCAGGGTCAAGTCGGCGATAGAAGAGGAGGCGAGGCTCAAGGAGAAGGTGCATCACGTCCTGGTGTTCATCACCGCCGAGTTCCAGATGATGCAGTCTTTCCTCAACATCGCCAACAAGGAGCGCACCAAGAATGAGGTGGTGCGTACCTGGGTGAGGCAGCTCCGCGACCTGGCCTTTGACGTGGAGGACTGCGTCGAGTTTGTTGTCCATCTGGACAACAAGTCGACATGGTGGTGGCGCATTGCGCCATCCTGCGTGGTACTGCAGCGGCACCAGCACCTCGACAAGGCGGCCACCGAGATAAAGCTGCTCAAGGCCAGGGTGGAGGATGTTAGAGCATCTTCAACAGCCGCGCCAAAATAAGCGCGCGCGGTAAACTGGCATTTAGCGTGCGCGGCACGTTTTCGCGCGCTCCAGCGGAGGCAGGAAACTAGCGCGCGGGAAGCTATTGCGCGCGCGGTGAAAATGCGGCAGCTCGCGCGCTAGATTTGGCGCACTGTGTCCGGCGCGCCTATAAAATTGCAGCGCCCTCTGCCGCGCTCTCTCACTCCCTCTACAGCTTTCTCTTCTCTCCACCGACACGCCACCACCGCGCCACCATGCCGCCGCGCCGCCGGGGAGCTTCGGGCTACCGCGGCGTCCACGTCCATCCGTCCGGCACCTACTCCACCGAGATTCGGTCGGGCGACGTGCGCCTCGGCCTCGGAACCTTCGACTTCGTCAAGGAGGGCGCCCACGCGTACGACGCTACGGCGTGGCACCTCCGGCGGTCCCGTTGGGACATGAACTTCCAGAACGTCGCGACGCAGGAGCGAGCGCAAGAGTTGGCGCCTCCCCCGTGGCTTCTCACCGACGAGGATCGTCGTGAGAATCAGAGGCGGGAGCGCTGTCTCAGCCTGGCCGAGATGGACGAGGAAGCCATGGAGCTGTGGCGCCAACGCTTCCCGCAAGACGTCATCAACGAGCAACAATTCTTCACGGAGAGGAGGGCGAAGAGGAGGCAGGAGCGAGCCGCCTATCGCGAGGACAAGCGAACGCGGAAGGCGGTCGCCAAATTGAACATCGCGCTAGGAAATGCGTCGTCCTCGGACTCCAACGACGAGCGGTTCTTTGACGCCTATGCTCAGACGTCGGAGAAGGACATCACCGAGGCAGAGTCCGAGTCGGAGAATGACGAGTAGTAGTAGTTTATCTATCTATCATACGAGAAGACTATGTGCATCATTTTGTATCGTAGAAGCAGTCTGTGTGTGCACATTTGTACTATCGGAGCCAAATATGTGTCGAATCGTAGTTAAAACAAAGATGCAATATAATGTGCCTGCTGAAACGACTCGGGCATGCTTTATTTTGCGGCGACCGCGCAAAAGCTGGCGATTCCGGCATTGCAAACTGTTTTTTAGCGCGCCGTGTGTTAGGCACTATCATGTTTGTCAACTAAAGTTACAAAATCCTCACGTCACTAAACTTTTTATCTAAAATGTTCGATTTACCATGTGTTGGTGCCGGACGATTGGGTGTTGGGTATTGTAAACATATCTCCGTAAAATCCTACATCTCTTCCCAAAGGGTGAGGAACACCACAATGGGAGTACTGGCTACGATGGCGATCACAAGGTACGCAGGCCACCTCGCGGTGGGCGCAACGGTGATGTAGACGGCCGTCATGAAGGAGGCGAGCATGGCGAGGAAGGCGACATTTGTGAGCCTGCGGCTCCACATGAGCCTGCGGCTCCAGCTGAGCTGGTAGACCTTGTGCTCGACTGGGCTCCGCTCCCACTCCCGCTCTCGCCATGCCCACATGGTTGGACAGAAGACGACGACGATGGAGCTGCACATGGCGACAGTGTTGGTGACGACGAAGATCTTGAATGCCGCCTTGTGGCCGTGGATGGCCGTGCCCTCGGTCTGGTTGTAACCCCCCGGCATGGTGAAGGTGGCGGCAAAGCTGACAGTGGCGATCAGTGTGGCCACCAGCATTGTGACGTTGAACTCGTCGTGGCCAGCCGCCTGGCCCTGACTACGCCGCGACCGGTAAGACGCGGGAGGAGGCGGCAGCGGCACGTTCTTGCACCTGGAACCCTCGGACTTCTTGAGCTTCTTCCACAGGTACATCTCGTAGGTGTCCAACTCCTCAGTGGTGGCGCGCTTCTCGATGAGACTGCGCGCGGACTGGCCGTCCCGGTTGAGGACGCAGGGGCTGACCCGGCGGTCCTTGAGCAGGAGCAGCGCCGACTTTATGCTCGACAGCGCAGCGGCTAGGTGCAGCGGCGTGTTGCCTTGGTGGTCGACGCGATTGACGATCTCCTCGGGGCGGACTTGCTTGAGCAGGCACTTGAGGGCGTCCACCTTGCCGCTGGTGACGGCGACGTGGAAAGCTGTCCTGCCGTTGCTGTCCACCATCTCCGCCACGTCAGGGCACTGCTTCAGCAGCTCCACCATGGCCTCCGTCGAGCCGTAGGAGGCGGCGACGTGCAGCGGCGACTGCAGGTCGCGGTTGCGCTTGTAGGCCAGGTCCATCTTCCGGTTCAGCAGCAGCTTCACCATGCGGCCGTTGTTCTTCTGCGCCGCGTAGTGCAGCGCGTTGTTCTCGGACGAGTCCGTCAGCCCGATCTGCTCATGCGGCGTCGCGTCAAGCAACATCTCCACCACACCTGCTTGCGTCGCCAGCCACTAGTCGTAATTACACGACACAGGACATGACAGGACCGGACACATGGCCCTCTCTGTTCCAAAATATATGACCTAACTTTATACTAACTTTAGAGGGAGTAGTAATTTACTTACGGATGTGGCCGCCGAGGACGGCCTGGTGCAAGGCGGTGCTGCTCATGGAGTCAGATGGGACAAACCTCTCGTGGACCCAGGGCTGGCCGATGATCTTGGCCACAACGTCGGTGAGGCCCTCCCCGGCGGCGATGTGCAGCGGCGACTGCTGCTTCACGTTGAGCGCGTGGCCTAGGCTGGGCTGGGCGGCCAACAGCAAGAGCGCCACGGCGCTCCTGCCGTGCTTCACCGCCTCATGCAGCGGGGTGTCGCCGGCCTTGTTGGCCATGAGCACCGGCCCCTGCTCGCTCCCATGGGAGTCCTGCGGCTGCTCTGCAGACCATGCTCTGGCGCGGCTGAGTAGCAGCTCCACCACGTCCACCTTACCTACCCTGGCCGCCAGGTGCAGCGGCGTGTCGCCATCGGCGTTCCTTGTGGCGAGCAGCTTGTAGTCCGCACCGAGGACCTCCTCCGCGAAGCCGGCATGGCCGATTTCGGCCGCGATGTGCAGCGCGGTGTTCCCATGGGGCGTCTTGGAACCAAGGATGCCGGGCCGCTCGGCCACCAGCTTCCTCAGGCTTGCCACGCTCCCTTGCACCGCCGCCTTATGCAACGCTGGGTCCATCCTGTTCCTATCTAGCTTCTACTCCTCACTCCCTCCTTCCTCTTCTCTGCTACCTTGATCGTGGAGATCGACCTGAGCTGATGGATCGCGTCAATGAAGAAGCTTTTATGACAAGTTGTGCCCGACACCGGCTTGATTCCTTGCTTCCTCCCTCAATTTGGAATTGATTTATTCCTTGCTTCGTCCCACGCTTGTGCAACCGACGTAATTATACTTTGCCGCAATCGTCACGGCATGCACAAAGGTCAGGAACCATATGGACAACGTAAATGGTTCAACCAAGCATCATGCACACGTGCACTAAAATTAAAATGAGCTTTTATTGCTTAATAATGGTTACTACATAAAAGTGTAAATTAAGCTACATTCGGCGAACTACACCTTTTTTTGTAAAAGATCCGAACACACCGCCTAGCGCTAGATGGGGATCGGGCGGTCGCGCTTTTCTCCCATTTCTACATTATATCGTGCAATTGATGGCATATAATCAATGGATCAATTTAATTAACTAGGCCCTAATTAATGGATCGCTCGCATCCAAAAAGTGGAACAAAAATAAAAAGAAAGGAAGAGAAATCAAAGCCAAATGCCCAAACTCACCGACAAACTCAGCGAACTATAACTATTATTGTTTGCACATAGAGATTAAATGGTTAAACATTATATACTTCCATGTTAAACAAAAATGTATTTTTTGGTTTCTTATCTGATCTTTTGAGGTGCATTATTTTTGCACCAAACAACCAAAAGAAAATTTACTATTTTTGTATCCGAGACTTTGTACCTACATGAACTTTGACCAGGGAAAAAAAGTTGTTGAAACATACCTCTGATAACTTTCGTATACATAGCAAGATAATTTACACGCCACAAACTTGATAATTTACATACAAATATCATAATTAATACTTTTGAACCCGAGAAAAAAGTTGTTGAAACATACCTTCTATAACTTTCTTACATATAGCAAGATAATTTACACGCTGCAAACTTGATAATTTACGTACAAATATCATGATACGTTTGAGCCAGAGAAAAAAGTTGTTGAAACATACCCCCAGACAGTAACTTCCATCTACATTTCATGGTATTTTACGCACCACATAACTCATAAGTTATGTGCCGCCTGATAACTTGACTTTGGGGAAAAGGTTGTTGAAACATTTCTCGGTAACTTCTATGTGAATAGCATGGTAATTTATGCATTGCATACCTAATAACTTATATACAACACCATGGTAACTTTGATGCAGGAAAAAAGTTAATAAAAATACAACTCTGAAACTTTTGTGCAAAAAAGCGTGGTAAATTGCGTACGGCGGAGCAGATAACGTACGAAAAAGTACATAGACCATGGTAACTTTGTCCCACAGAAAAGAAGTTGAAACATACCACAGTAACTTTTGCATACATAAAATGTTAATTTACGCATCGCGGACCTGATTACAACACCGAGGTAACTTTGACCTGGGAAAAAGTTGTTGAAACATACCCAATAACTTTTCTGTGAAGAAAATAATAATTTATGCATCACAAACCTGATAACTTACGTACTACACTACGGTAACTTTGACCCCGGAAAACAAGTTGATAAAAACAATACTTGGTAACTCCTGTGTAAAATCATGGTAACTTATGTGCCGCGGAGCTGATAACGTACGTACAAACACCATGGCAACTTTGTCCCATAGAAAAGAAATTGTCGAAACATACTTTCAGTAATTTCCTTGTATATTGCATGGTAATTTACACACCGCAGACCTAAAAATTTAAGTACAACACCGTTTAACTTTGACCTGGCGAAAATTGTTGTTGAAATATACCCCGATAACTTTTGCCCGAATAACATGATAATTTATGATCGCGGACCTGATGACTCACATACAAAAACCGTGGTAACTTTGACCCAGGATAACCAGTTGTTGAAAACATCACCAGGTAAATTTTGTGTAAAAAGTGTTATAACTTATGTATCACAAGCTTGGTAACTTCAGACCAAAAAATTCATCGAAACATACCAACATGGTGAAATCGGATTTTAAATCAGACCGCAGTTTGAGTTACAAAGTAATTTATATTTTTGAAATAGGTATAATCTAGCTGAAGGAAATATGCCCTAGAGGCAATAATGAAGTTGTTATTTTATATTTCCTTATTCACGATAAAGGTTTATTATTCATGCTAGAATTGTATTGATCAAAAATTTAAATACATGTGTGAATACATAAACAAATACCGTGTCCCTAGTAAGCCTCTACTAGACTAGCTCGTTGATCAACGATGGTTAAGGTTTCCTAACAATGGACATGGGTTGTCATTTGATAACGGGATCACATCATTAGGAGAATGATGTGATGGACAAGACCCATCCTTTAGCTTAGCATAATAATCGTTCAGTTTTATTGCTATTTCTTTCTTCATGTCAAATACATATTCCTTCGACTATGAGATTATGCAACTACCGAATACCGGAAGAATACCTTGTGTGCTATCAAACGTCACAACGTAACTGGGTGATCATAAAGATGCTCTACAGGTCTCTCTGATGGTGTTTATTGAGTTGGCATTGATCGAGATTAGGATTTGTCACTTTAAAATATCGGAGAGCTATCTCTGGGCCCTCTCGGTAATACACATCGTAAGCTTGCAAGCAAATGACTAAGAAGTTGGTCACGAGGTGATGTATTACGGAATGAGTAAAGAGACTTGCCCGTAATGAGATTGAATTAGGTATAAAGATACCGACGATCGAATCTCGGGCAAATAACATACCGATGGACAAAGGAAATTTTGCATGTTGTCATAACGGTTCGACCAATAAAGATCTTCGTAGAACATGTAGGAGCCAATATGGGCATCCAGATTCCACTATTGGTTATTGATCGGAGCGGTGTCTCAGTCATGTCTACATAGTTCTCGAACCCGTAGGGTCCGCACGCTTAACATTCATTTACGATATAGTATTATATGAGTTATGTGATTTGGTGACCGAATGTTGTTCGGTGTCCCGAATGAGATCACAGACATGACGAGGAGTCTCCAAATGATTGAAAGGTAAAGATTGATATATAGGACGATGATATTCGGACACCAAAAGTGTTTCGGAGGGTACCGGGTACTTATCGATCACCGGAAAGGAGTTTCGGCACCCCCGGCAAAGATATGGGCCTAATGGGCCGAAGGGGGAACAGACCAGCCCTGGTACGTCCCTTTTTTTGAACAGCAGGCCCTAAGGGAAGGAAAAGGGGGAAGGTTAGCCCCTCCTACCTTTCCCTCTCATGGGAGAAGGGAAAGGGGGGGGGGGCACCCTCCCCTGCCTTTCCTTGCACCTATATAAGGTAGGGAGGGGGCACGGCTTGGAAGGGACTCCAAGTAGGATTCCTCCTACTTGGGCACCTCCTTTGGCTGCTCCTCCCTTCCTCCCACCTATATATATGTGGGAGGGGGGTGCCTAGCATACAAGAGACAATTGCCTAGCCGTGTGATAATCCCCAAGTGTAGGGAATCATCGTAGCAATTCCCATAGGTGGAAGTGATAAGTATGAAGTGTCAAACCCACAAGGAGCTAAAGGAAAGATCAATATTCTCTCAAGTCCTATCTGCCATTGATACGACTCTACGTACACCCTACGTTTACTTCCAACTAGAAACGAAAAATAAAACTACATTGTGGGTATGAAGAGGATAACTTTGCATGATATCGGAGAGCTAAAATATAAAAGTAGTTGCTGTTATGATAAAGTTAGAATATATTACTAAATATTATAAATAGCGAGTGTGCAATAATGATCGGTCGACGTGCGGAATTATCCTAGGAAATTGTTAACAAGATCGGTAATCACTATTACAGTTTCTTATGAGGGAGAGGCATAAGCTAACATACTTTCTCTTCTTGGATCATATGCACTTATGATTGGAACTCTAGCAAGCATCCGCAACTACTAAAGATCATTAAGATAAAATCCAACCATAGCATTAAAATATCAAGTCACCTTTATCCCATACGCAACAACTCCCTTACTCGGATTTATGCTTCTGTCACTCAAGCAACCCACTATAAACGAATCAAGAACGTATTGCAACACCGTACAGTGGGAATCCCTCATGCTTGCGCGATATGAAGGGCACAATAGGACAGCACCAAAATAAAATATACAACTCATACCAATCTAGATCATCAATCAACCCAAAGACAAAGGATATCTACTCAAAACATCATAGGACGACAACACATCATTGGATCATAATATGTGGCATAAAGCACCATGTTCAAGTAGGGATTACTGTGGGGTGCAGGAGAGTGGACCGCGTAAAAGAGATGAGGATGGTGATGATGGTGAAGACGATCACCGCGGCGATGATTCCCCTCCCGATGGCACTCCGGCGCCACCGGGAGAGAGGAGGAGAAGTTCTCCCCCTTGTGCTTCCTCCTCCATGGCCTCCCCCCTAGATGGGGAGAGGTTCCTCCTCTGGTCTTTGGCTTTCATAGCGATGATGGCCCCTCCGAGAACCTTCCTCATGGCCTCCGATGATGATGGCCCCCTCCGGCAGGGTGACAGAGAGGGCCTAGATTAATTTCTCGTGGCTACAGAGACTTGCGGCGGCGAAACTTCTAATCTAGGTTATTTTCTGGAGGCTTGGGCATTTATAAGAGAGGTAGGCATCAAGAACAAGTTAGGGGCCCCACGGGAAGTCCACGAGGCACAGGGGCGCGCCCTCCACCCTCGTGGGGTCCACGGGACTCCCATCCAGTAACTCTTTGTTCCATCATTTTTTATATTTTCTAGAAAAATTCTCTGTTGATTTTCAGCGCATTCCGAGAACTTTTATTTCTGCACAAAAACAACACCACGGTAGTTTTGCTGAAAACAGCGTCAGTCCGGGTTAGTTCCAGTCAAATCATACCAAAATTATATAAAACTATTGTAAACATGGCATGAATACTTAATCAATTATAGATGCATTGGAGACATATCACCGTATGCGGCGCCCCCCTCCAC